CTCCTCGATTACAAATCTCACGGAGAAGATGTCCGAAGATAGCGAAAGAATATTCGAGCACCCCAATGGGGCCCATTAGGATCCAAAGGTAGTTGGGCCAGTCTTCTATCTGACTGTCCTTCTTCCTCTCTTATTCTCGATGAATCCATGGTAGAGGAGGCGGGGGATGGTTGGCCGGTCAAGCCACATTCCGTTGGCCAACCGGCTCCTTGGAACCCTTCCTCCCCCTCTTTGGTAGACGGTTCTCTATATACAAGCTCTCGCCTTCTTATGCACCACTACGATATGTGCCCATAAGACCGCCAATATTATTTCGACTAGACAGCGGTCGGACTCGACGCAACCTTGTCAGAGAGCAATGCGTAGGTATCTGCTTTCACGGAGTGAAACGTTACCGAGAAGAAAACCTCAAAGGTCGAGTTTAACGCGCATGCTACATACTTGCCCGCTCGCGCCACTCTGGAAAATCTCATTTTCAAAAAAGTACCACAAACGTGTCCTTTCTACCGGTTTTTCGCTTCTCTCATACGTCTCTCGGTCTGCGTCCATTCCATTCGACTCGATTCCCTTCCATTCCATTCGATTCCATTCGATTCGATCCGATTCGACTCCGTTCCATTCTATTCAATTCGATTCGATCCGATTCATTCGCGATCGCGTTTCCTCTACCATTTTTTCGCGTTGCATAAATACGTCCGGACTGTAGAGTTAAATTTGATATCGAAAATTGAACGTCGATCGCGCGATTAACGAATCCGTAGACGCGATATGAAAGATACGCGGCCATTTTTCGTCCGTCCAAGATTTTAACGCGTGTATCAAACGATCGTTATAATTTGTAAATCGACGCCGCCGGTAAATAATATCGATTAAAAAATATCGGATCGAGATGATGGAAAGTCGGATCCCGGAACCGTGGAAGTATAGATATTTCGAGCGAAGGATGTCGCCGTGCGATCGTGGGGTCGAGGTCCCGAAGAAGGTTCGAGAGATCTCCCGCGAGAGAACTCGCCCACGTAGGGTGCCGTAAAAGTTCGGTTCAAATCTGCCCTCCACCAACCGCCTTCGCCGCTATCATCCTCCAACCACTTCCCCTCTTCTTCCGTCACTCCTCTTAACTTCTCTTTCGTCTTCTTCGGCTTCTCTCCCTCTCGCCGTCCGTCTGCTCTTGCCACCCGCGATCTTTGCCTTCTCGTTCCTCCTTTCCTTCGCTTTTTATCTCGCTTCTACCACGATTTCTTCCTGCTCGTGCTTGCGCCCGATCGCCAAGCCACGGAAACCTCGATCGCTCCATACGGACTCGACGAGACGCATCGCATCGCGTCGCATAGCGTCGCATAGCGTCGCATTGCGTTGACGAGAGCCAAGAATATATACGGATATCTTGCCATGGAAGGTGGTTGGTCGGCTAAGATCTTTAAGGGGGAGACTCTTCCGAGAGCGGTGATCCTCTCTCGAGAGAGAGAACACAAGAGCGAGGTGAGTCGCGGAGGTGAGGAAGGGGACTCGCACGCAGAGGGTGTCGACGGTGGACCCAGGAGGCAAGGGGGCCTTCTCGGACCTCGAGGGCCTCTGGACGAGCCGGCAAGAAGAACGGCAGGGATGCGAGCGGGGAAGAGAGAAGGATGAGAAGTGACCGGATGGCCTTGGTCCCAAGACTTGGTTAGTTACCGCGCGGCCGACTATAACTGGTCGAGAGCTCCGTAACACACAGGGCGGTATCTCCGACTTCGACCGCTTTTAAAGACGACCGGACCACGGTACCGCGCAACGCTGCAACACACAGATACCAACTAGCCCCTAAAACACCCAAGGTATCGAGAAAGGCAGCCATTTTCACGGGCGATCATGAGTATCGGTTTTGATTCTTCGGACGGGTTTCTTCCGTTCGACTTATAACGCACGAAAATATCCTACGAAATCCTTCTCCTTTGTTCCACGTTGCTCGTTTCAACGTCAACGTTTCGACTGCCGTCGTGTTGCGGTACTTCCCGACCATTCGCTTTGCTTAACGCTGAAACACGA